ATTGAGTTCACCACCGCTGGGACAGAGGGCGCTCTGTCCGGGAGTCCTCTGGGGCGGTGGGGAAGCCATGGGAGAGGAGAGGGGGAGAGAGAGGAAAAGGAGGGAGAGAGAGAAGGAGGGAGAGGGAGAAAACAAACTCCAGAAAACCCTGAGATTCAGGGCAGAGAGAGCAGAGCCCAGAAACAGGGTTAGAAGAATGCACAGGACCGAGGGGGGAGAGCTTGAGAACAGGACGCACTTTCATCCTTTGGAATCTCACGTAGCTATTGAGCAATAATCGGCCGTTATCAGACGAGGAAGAAGAAGCGAACTACACAGCGTAAATGCTTGCCCGGCACGACCTGTATTTCGAACTTGACGGTTTGCCCGCGCCACCTTGGTTTTCCCTCCTTCAGCGTGCACACACGGGCTGCTCTGTATCCCCCTCCCTTTGGTATTGTGTCTTCCTCCCTTTGTGTTGTGACAGCCCGTGTTGGTATTGTGGAGACCGCTGAACAAACTGGAGCGCGTCACACGATAAATCGTCATGTTCTTATTCTTAAATTCACGCAGCCACGGTTCACCACGGCTGATCCTTTAAGAACACTGGTGGTGTCTTTTCCCCCTCCCCTCAAGTAGATGTGTGAGTTCCGCTCTTCCTTGCTGCTTCTCTGACTGGAGGGTGGCTGGGTCCCTCCCGCGACTCTGCTCACCAGGGTGCTTGTGCTGCCAGGGCGGCTGTGCTGTCACCCTGGCTCTCAGTGCCCCACCCTGCTGGGGAGAGCCTTCTTGCGGTTCCCTTCCCTCCTTAGGACCGCAGCAGCGTCTGACGAGGTGTGAAGGAGAAGTTTCAAGGTCGTCTGACGAGGTGTAAACCAGAGGTTTCGAGGTCATCACGAGCATTTTCACAGACCTGAAAGTCAACCACTTTGGTGACAGCCCCACCCCGCCGTGGCCACAGGTGTGAGTTATTTAGGCACCGTGTGGACCAAGTGTGCAATAAAGACGTTCATTCTCTTTTCTAGAATTTTTCCTTGAACGAAGGTTGGAAAGGTTTATTTTTAAGAAGCAGGTTAAACAAAGTATGAAATCAGGCTGACATTTCCATACCGAAGGACGTAGATGCGGGGCCCTCTTCCCTCTTGGAAACTGGCTTTTAAAACACCGTGATAACACTTATGGTTTTACACTTGGGTAGTTGAAAAAGAATACCTCTACTATGCCACCCACAGAACACCAGTCATTGTAGGTCCCATGTGTCTGTGTGGGCACACGCGCGTGTGTGTGCACGAGCTTGTGTCTGTGGGCACACACGTGTGTGTGTAGTACGTGTGTGCCCCTTTAGGGACGTACCGACAAAGCATATATTCTTCCCACGGTTCTATACTGGGAAACTTCCGCTGAACCCGACCCCCGGCCGAAGGACTGGCTCAGTTGCTCACTGGCTCTAGTGCCCAAGTTCATTCTCCATTTCTAGAGATTGCCTGTTTTCTTTTGGCTGAACTCTTAAAAGTACACAGACATGTACGTTGGTCCGGGGTCAGGATGGTGAGGGCAGCAGCCTGTGACCCGTGCGTTGGTCTGGGGTCAGGATGGTGAGGGCAGCGGCCTGTGACCCGTGCGTTGGTCTGGGGTCAGGATGGTGAGGCAGCCGCCTGTGGCAGGCTCACAGCCCCACCTTTCTCTGTCCTACCAGGTGCGTGTCTCCGTGGGCATTCCCGGACTCTGCCATTCTCCAGAGAGCAAGACCAGATGCACACCCCCCTTTCCTACTTCTTATGCGGGGTGGGGCTTGTGGCCATGTCTCTGCACATTTCTGCTCTGTCACCTGGAAGATGCTCTGGGGCTGTGGGATTGTTGGGGCCGGACAAATCCCTTCAGAGCAGCTGATTGTGTGTGAAAAGACCTGAAAACCACATGTTGTGCATCTGCACCAGATCGGAGAGGCAGCCCCCGGGCGCGTGGGGCGGCCGCCCAGCGGAGGCCTCTGCCACAGGGTGTCCTAAGGCCAGCATCAAACTCAATCCGATTTTCTGCTCTGTGCTCTGTGCCAGGTACTGTACTGGTGCCACTGAGAAAAGCCCGTGTGGAAACAAGGCAGTGTCCGGTTAGGTGACACAGAAACATAAACACACAATGGTAGGATCACGTGGACTGGTGAGGGAATCGAGATGGAGGAACAGGTGGGAGCCGCAGCTCTGCCCCGCCGTGAAGACGGCGCTTGGCTTAGGCTGCAATCCACCGTTCTGGCTCTAGAACAAGCAAAAGTGTACATTTCACACTTCCCTGTAAATCTGAGTAGAGACAATTCAGGGCTTCTCCCCAGACTCATCCCAGCTGCCCTGGTTTCCTCGCTCCTTTTATTCTTGGACATAAATTCAGCTTTCCAGGTTGTAGCTGCTTGGGCAGCGAGGGGGAGTTTTGAACCTAAAACCCTAACAGCATGCAGACTCCAGGCAGAGTGAGACCGTTCAGTGCAGGACCAGAACCTGCAGTCACGCGGCTTCTGTGCTCTGCCTGCAATGCTGTCATTTACGTAGCTGACAGGAGAGAAGATAAAAGTCAATAAAAACAGAATTCTTTATTAAAAAGGTCTAATGTTACAAGAACAGCACACAGAACTATTATCTGACTGCGCCTCCCACTGATATACTGTATCTATGGTTTAAATACAGATTGTATACAATATGTTTAAAGGTTTCCACCCACTTCACAGCACCTTCAGCTAGGGCTGCAAAGCGTTCGCTCTCGGGAAAGTCCTAATTACAAGCAGCGCTGCTTTCTGTGTAGTTCAATTGACGTTATACAAAAATACAGTCTCTTTAGAGATTTAAGACTGTGTGGTTTTGATACCATCCAAGAAAATACCTGCCCGGCTGTGCAGCCAAAACATAACGGGCCGCGGTAAGGGAGGCAAAGTAACAAACGTGTAACACCCAAGTCCATCAGCACTGGAAATTGCTTGTCAATTGGTTTATGATGCAAAATACATATTTTGTGTGTGTGGAGTAAAAACATCCCACCCCTCTGATTTCTGGGAAAATGCAACTTCGGGCATTGTCCGTGAAAATGCTGGCGGTGTGTGTGCGCTATCTATAATCACTGGTTGGAATTTGCCAGACATTGGTAGTATTTTTCTTTGTAACAGTTTCGTAGAGGATATCATGGAAAGTGAGGGACCTGGCTTGCTGCATCCACTATGTAAAAACTCCCATGATTAACACCTCCTTGTGGTTTTCCAGATGCACTGGGGTTCTTAGGGTTACAGCCACCTTGGGAAAGCTCCCGATTCTGGGGTTAAACACCTCTCGCCACCGTCCATGCGCAAGGCGCCGCCTCCGCCGGAGGAGGCGCTTGTTTGGGAAGGACGCTTGCTGTTGTTTGTCACAGGTTTAACTGCTCGCCATCTGCACTGCCTGCTCTGGTCTACTGGCTCACACAGCTTTGCAATCGCCTCTCCAGTGCTCAGGTTTATCTTCTCGGATAGGATTCTCCTCCCACAGAAAATGAGTGCTTGCCATACCTAGATACATAGTGGCTCTGAGCGGAGTCTGAGGGCCCGGGGACTGGAAATCCTCACCTCTGCTCTGACAGGGCAGATAGCATCCTCTGGGGCCATCTCTGGAGCTTAGTACCTTTTCATTTGTTGGCTGTTTAGGATTCCGTGGGAGGGGCTGGGCGGGGATGGGGGGAGGCGCGGGGGGGGGGCTCTTGCTCTCAGATGGGCGTCACTGTGAGCTCCGTCTCCGGGTGCTCTCTGGACAGCATGGCATCGTGTCTCCATGGCTATGAGGCCCACCCTGAGTGTTCTAGAACCTCTGTGTCATCTGTGCGTGGGTAGAATTGCCCTTTGCTGTCAGTAACCATCTCTACTCACTGAGAACCCGGCTGCCCCTCACGTGACCGACTCTGAAGACTCAGAACCCAAGGATGCGCAGCTGGGCTGCCTGCGTATTACATTATGGTGCCTTTAATTAGGAAAAACAAGTTTATTAATACGTCCTCTTTATTTTGATAGTTGGCAGGATTGTGTAAATGACATATTTGTGCATGGAACTATCAAAAATAATCAAAATTTATTTGCTCTGCTCGGAATTTGTGTGTGTGTGTGCCAATATGTGGGCTTGAACTAAGGGCCTGGGCTTTTCTGCTCTAGAAAAGCTAAGGGTGCTCTATACTGAGCAGAAGCTCCACATTGGGATTTTTTTGCCAGGTAACTAGAGATAAGAGTCTCACAGATTTTCCTGCCCAGGCTGGCTTTGAACTGTGGTCCTCAGATGACATGTGAGCCACCAGCACCCGGCTTAACATATAGGTATCATTGTTTGTGCAACACATTTTCGTTGTCCTTAACGTTAATTTGCAATTACAAGCAGGCCTGGGCTCGCTTCACAGTCTGCTCTGACAAGAGGTGGAGAACTGGAGAGGCTCTGCTCCAAGTTCACTGCATCTGCAGGAGCACGTGTCGCCTTCTGGTAGCCTGTGTTTTAGTTGTCATGTGTTTTAGTGACTTTACACTATCTTTTGCTATTAAAAATAAACATTTGCTGTGTTTGCTGCTACATGGATGAAGTGCTCCAAGGGGCCACACACCAGCCTCCCGGGACAGGCCCGCTCCCTGGGCAAGGCCGCGGGGCCCCGGCAAGCCTGGCTGTGCCCCCAGCGCTCAGACTCTCCTTGAGAACATCTTTGTGCGTCTCTCCTGGCAGGGCCGCCTCACTGAAGTATTTTCATACTCTCTTCTGGTCTGGCAATTGGAATAGCCAGAGGAAGGGAAAAGGAAAACACCGGACCCGCAGTCTTCAGCAAGATTTCATTCTCAGTCTGGGGTCTGTGCGGCAGCAGAGCTGCGGACCACAGAGCCAGCGAGGCAGGCGCTCGCTCAGAGCCGTCGACAGAAAGCCAGACTCCACGCATTAAAAAATTAAGAATACATTTGAGGGAAATCCCCTTTGCTTACAAGGCTCGCCTCACACACTCTGCATATTTTGTAACTGAGCTGTCCTCTCAAAGCAAAGCCTGGTGAGGAGGCAGCGTTCCGCGGCCCCTTGTGAGTGTACCCGCGGTTCTGCGGTTCGAAGCTCCTCTTCGGACCCGTCTCCACCTGGGCTCCCGGTGGCAGGTGTGCGGAGGAGCCGGCCAGGGGCTGCGGTCTCACCAGGCGGCGGGTGGGAGCAGCAGGGCTGAGGCCAGCACTGCCCAGGACGACACGGACCCCGTGTGCAGCGTCGACTGTGCACTCGTGATTTTCCCCCCTGAGGCAGAGAGAGAAGAACCGATGCTCAGGCCTGAAAGACCAACACGCCTGGGCTTGGCCCTTGTCCTACCAGCTAATGATAGGGGTGCATAGCGCAACACTTAAAGTTTCTCCGTGAAACAGGAGAAGTGTGTCTCCTTGTGCTTGTTAGGAGGCTGAGATGATCTCATGGATAGCAAGGGCTCAGCAAAAGCAGACACTTAATAACTGTGCTAATAATTAAAATGGCCACCCTGAGTGTTGGCGGTTCATGCCTGTAGTCCTAGTTACTGAAGAAGCTGAGCTCTGAGGATCTCAGTTCAGAGCCGGCTTGGGAAGGAAAGCCCGTGAGACTCTTATCTCCAATTGACCACCAAAAAGACAGAAGTGGAGGCGTGGCTACGTTCAAGCCCCAGTACTGGCACAAAACTAATGACCAAGCAAGTTTATAATCTGCTTGGAAGTCAGTAAGCGTCACGTCGTCTAGCAGTAGGGTAACAGACAGGCAGGCATCAGCTAGTGCAAGGCCAGTTTAAAGGCAATATTCCCAAAGCCAAGCGGGCCAGCACCGAGATGGGAAGGCCAGGTGGATCCCAGAGATGGGTACATCCTGATGAATACACCAGCCTCGAGCTGGAGATTCTGCAGTGGTGAGCAGCTTCCATGCTTGAATTCATGGGAGGAAGAGAGGAGAAACAGGAGAGACCCATCTCGGCGTTCCCGAGCTCTGCGCTTGTTGCGCAGTTCTGATGCGATTTAGACCACCTTGCAGCGATCACAGCTGTCAAGCGAGGCCTGCGAGGCCCAGCCTTACCTGAATATGAAGGCACTCTGATTTGGGAACTGGCCGTTCCGTCCCCTCCTTCGCTGGACGCCCGAACTTCAATGATGTAGACGCCCGCCTCCGGCAGTAGGACCACTGCCTGCGGCTTCTGGGTGACGATGACTTCGCTGTGGCTGTGGCCCTCCTGCCTGAGGATCACCTGCGAGGACAACAGAGCCCTTTAACAGTGGCCGTCCAGTCGGTGGCTGTGGCTGTCCACCGGCAGCGCCCATCCTCCCCAGCCCAGCGCACGGAGCTTAGCTACGTGAGCAAATGCCGCACGCGTTATCCACGGCCGTCGGGGCACACGGGGGCTCTGAGGAACAGAGGCAGGCTAATTCCAGAGCAGGTGGTGCCGGAGCTAAGGCTTGAAAGACAGAGGGTTTACCAGCTTGACAAGAATTCAGACGGAGCTGAGGGAAGATACACCTACAAGAGCACATCCCGGGTTTGTGACGGAGCGATGCGGGGCAGGTGGCAGCGAGGGAGCGGCCGGAGCGCTCTCTGCTGCCAGGTTCTCCCGTGAGCACTGTCCCGGGAGGCCTGAGTGTATTAACAACACATCCTTAGCCATATAGGAAATGGCTGGAGAGTTGAGCTGTGTTCAGTTGTGGCTTCCGTGGTGGTTTGCGTTGTGGGGAGCTGGCCTCTGGGTAGCAGCAGGTGGCTAAGTGAACGCCTTCTTGTCACCTCTGTGTGGTGGCAGACCTGAGCTCACCTACATGCATGGCAAACACCAACGCTAACCAAGACTCACGACTGTCCAGTTTCTACCAGGAAACTAACTAAGCAGTAAGTGAATTTAGAGAATTCACGCAGGAGCCTGGGGCCTGGTGGGGGTGGGGGGCAGGGTTAGTGAAGATCCGTGTTCCATGCTGCCTAGCTGCTTCACTGGGCTGCTCTCTTGCTCTTGCTGGTGTCAGTTTGAACGGCACAGAACGGTCAAGCAGCAGCACCTGACATGCTTCCTTTCATGTGCATGCTCTTTGTAAGTATTGCTGTTACTAAAATATGACTTGTGTGCACAGTGGAAATAGCAATGGCGTGGTCATCACACAGACCTGGATTCAAAGCCATTTCCTATGAAGAAAGCCAGAGAAGCAAAATCAATATTCTACGCCTTTCTGCTGAGCAAATTTGGGCAAATCATTAACTTTCCTCAAACTGAATTCACTCTCCTGTTTGGTTGAAATAATGTCACCTGTTTCATGGTGGCACAAGGAGAAAGACCTGATGCTGGATAGAGAAAGCTGTGGGGTTGGTGGAAGGCAGCTTGACTGACTCTCAAGGACGGACTGATGGGAAGACAGACAGAAGACAAACACTCTGCCACCCCCTCCCTACTTGCTATCTATCAATCTATCTGTCTATCTGTCTGTCTATCTATCTATCTATCCACATTCCTATCTCTATCTACTTTGTGGAAATTGTGTTCAAAGTAACAAGAAACTAAAGTTTAGAGAAGCAGTATTTTCATATACTGAAGCCTAGGTGTTCTTGGTTCTCTTTGCGTGTAGTAATATACTCCCTTCATCTTCCATGGGCTTAAGCTTACTTGGGGTCTTTGCAGGAAAATGACTTCATGAAAGCACAGCATGGTCTGAAATCCTCTTCACTGAAACCCTTTGGGAGGATACCGTAGCTTTGATGGAAATGCAAGATGGTAAAGGAGTATTACTATTTACCGGGCGTCGGGCACCTGCCGCAGATCCACCAGAGAACGCCACGCATGCTCCCCAGGCCCTTCACGGCCAGACACACAGCAGAGCACGCAGTGCGACGCGTGTGGTGTGGGCTCACGTGTGGTGCTGCGGCAGTGCAGAGCACTCCTCAAGTCGGGAATCGGAAACGGTTTCTGGAGGATGCTTAAAGCAGTTTCTTTATGCTTCATAACTGACAGTTCTATCAGGATTTATGCTTCTGAGTTTGACTAGCTCTGTGATGAATTAGAATTTGATCATCTACATGAGACAATTAGACATGAGATTTATGAACATGAGAAAGGATGTAAATTGGCGAGGATTGGCAGGGGAGCAACTGTGGTAGAGGACACTGTTGTTAGGGTTTCATAAATTACAATTTTTATGACAAAGGAAAACGCAGCCAGCAATGCATATCTAATGTTGCTGTAAAATCCAGAGTTGAAGAAAAATTTATGGATCAGTTGAGATTTGGGGACAAAAGGCAGAGGCAATGGAAAAAAATCAGTTAATGGTCGCAAAAGGAATTTGTGATTAAATGTGGTCTTTACCAATGGTCTGTAAGGCTCCATGCTAGCTGCTGCAAGAGGTGTGCTCAGGGCAAAGTTACACGAAATTAATGGTTTTAGAGCACTTTGGCCCATTTTAAGATCCCAGTTTAGAAAAGACAAGTGTGAAGAAGTCTAAGGCATTATCAAGACACGCTAAGAATAGTTATGGACAGCAAGGAGGCAAGAGAGTTCTTTGAGAATCTGGACGTTGATAGATCACCAGTTTCCATGACAGCTGTATTTATGCAGAAAGGAAACGGTCTAATGTCAAGACTGCTCTCAAATTATACTGAAAAAACCAGAGAGTACTGGATTTTCCAAAAATAAAATCCTAAACAATTCAGTGCTTTCTGCAGTTCCCCAAGGCTCAATCTGGACATGAATGCTCTGTGTGTGGTACAGTAACAGTCGATGGAGGGAATGTGCCAAAAACAGAATAAGTTTTTTGCCAGTGATGTCTGTAAGTATAAACATAAAAAGGGTAGACCCTGTTGAAGTGAAGGCCTTCCCCTCCCTGTGCCCTCCCCACACCTTCCCCCCCTCTGAGCACCTCAGAGGTATGGATGTATAAGGACTTTGTCTTTTTGACGTCCCCCCCCCCCCAGCATTTCCGTCAAGTCTCCCTCATACATACTTGACATATGGGTCATTTTTGTTTTTTAAAGGAATTTTACTATGAAAAATATTAGGCATAATCGAATGCAGATGGTATAAGGAGTGGCATGGAGCCATTACTCAAATGAGACCAGCATCCAGCAGTTTCTTTAAATTAGTGAGACACAGGAAGAGGCTGTGTTTCATGTTGGGGATGAATATAAGATGAAAGAGGTGTATAAAGATGTACATCAGAGAGAGTGGGTGTGGACTTACAGCTCCCTGGGGGATGGTGGGATCCAAGGCCGGGCTGGGAAGCACAGTGTCTGTCTGTCCCAGGACAGACAGGAATCTGCATCTCATGGATCCTACATATCCCATAATCCTATACAGCCCATGCATCCCATATATCCCATACATCCCTTATACTGAAGAAATCCCATATACCTTCCATATACCTCATATATCCCTTATATGCCACACAACCCATAGATCTGATCCATTTCATATATTCCATATAACCCATGTATCCCATGATCCCAGGTATCCCGTATCCCTCACGGGGCCCTTATGTCCCACATACCCTACACACCTCCCATATCCATGCAGCCCATGGATCGCCCAGACGCCCACCCCATACAGATTGTGTGTCTGTGAGGCCAGGGCTGCTGGTGAGCGGCCGCAGATGGCGGCTGTCTGTAACGATGGTTCCTAGGATACTCGGTACACGCTGGGCTCCGGCTGGGGCTGACAGGTGCGGCGTGGAGGTGGGACTGGAATGGGGGTGGGTGACTAAGTCCGGGAAAGGATGTTCTGTCGATGTGGACTAGAAACACTGTTTTCTTGGTTGACAGCCTGAAGCCCTTGTCCTGAATTCTTGGTGACAGATGGTGCCTTTCTGTGTGGGAGGAAGTGTGCTCTGGTGGGGAGTGGACATTAGCTCCAGTGAAGTCCTAGCCTCTGGCGTCTACTGCCTATTTTCCTTTCCACTGAGGAAAGCAGCCGTGTGTCTGGGAAACGTGAGGTGAGGATAACGTGGCTATTTGTCACGTTGGTAACTGGGTTCACGAGGCAAGGAAAGCCCTCCATGCTCAGGATAGCGGAGAACCGCACTCACTCTGGGTGGACAGAGGGGGCAGCTGTGAGCGGAGGGCGGGGCCTGGCTGGGTGTCCCCAGCCCGCAGCCTCGCTCACTCTGGGTGGACAGAGGGGGCAGCTGTGAGCGGAGGGCGGGGCCTGGCCGGGGGTGGCGCCCAGCCCGCAGCCTCGCTCACTCTGGGTGGACAGAGGGGGCAGCTGTGAGCGGAGGGCAGGGCCTGGCCGGGTGTCCCCAGCCCGCAGCCTTCTGTCCGCTTTCCTCTGGCAGGTTCTGGCATCTTGCGCTGCCGTGTGCTTTCCCGCTCTGCCCTGCCCATCCGGTATGGGAGACCATGTTATGCCTGAACGGTGGCAGGTTGGTTCCTGACCGGACGGACCACATCTCTGGCCCCTAACCACGGAGGAGCGGCTCTGCGGTCGAGGATAAATCAGAAGGACATGGCCTTTGGGGGAAGGGTAGGGAAGGATCTGGAAAATGACCCCCTGCCACCCCAGTGGTCAAACTGAATGCCCCTGAGCTCCAGGACAGATCTGAGTGTCCGGGGGCTTGTGTGTGACTGGCTTACCCTAAGCAGGGCAACAGGCGGTCTTAAGTGTTGAGAGCTGCTTGCCCTAAAATGTGTATTCCATTTCTATCAGCTTCTGCTTTCGGCTCTCGACTGTAGCATGTCAGACCCCAGGTACTGTTACTATCTCCCATGGTAGAAAAGCCACCAATGATGATGCGTGCAGTCTAAATATCGCCACAAAAACATTTTCCAATCTACTGTAAATATCCAGCTAGTAATTTTGCTTGGAATTGAAGGCGGTAAACAGAAGCTGTAATTGTGGAACAAGAATCTGAAATTAAGCCAATTCAATAGGTGGACCACGTACTTTTAAACAGAGGCAAACCTGGTTTCTAGCAGCAAGCTGGGCGGTGTTTTCCCCTGTGCAGGGCTGCTGTTAGCCCCCGGCCAGTGGCTGGGAGGCTCAGAACCCTGCCGGGAGACAGACGGCCGTCTCTCTCCCTGACTTCCCTTCCCAGGCCCTGGCCTTGCAGCTGAAAACATGCATCTTTGTTAATACCAAGTCCTTCTACGCATCTGCCTGTCCGGAGGGTCTGCAGAGCCTGGGCCTGGCCCGTGTGGGTCTTTTTCCTCGAGGAGCATAGCCTATCCCTTCCTGGCCGTGGAGGGCAGCGGGGTTTGCCTGCCCTGGTCTCTGCCCGTGCCTGGGGCTGGGTGCACGGTCTACGAGAGGAGAGCAGCCAGCCAGACGTGAGCCTGGGCGTGGAGGAGGCACTGACCTTGTAACCTGTGACTTCCGACTCGTTGGCCAGCGGCCTGACCGGCTCCCAGCCCAGGGAGACCTGAGCGCCCTGCTGCTCCCACCGGAGGTCGCTCGGAGCTTGGCTGGGCGCTGCGGAGCAGAGAGCAGAAGTCAGAGGGGGAATCAACGCATTTCTTCATTTAAGGCCTCTGGGGAGGGCGTGGAGGGGGCGCCGCGGGCCTCCTCCCAGCCCAAGTCTCACCAGGGGGCTTGGCTCCTAGAGTGTCATTTTAATAGCTTCTCCACGGAGCTTTTGAACTCAAATCGTTTTTATCTCACTTCTGTGTCAGAAACCGCTTAGCCTTGTTTCAGGGGAAGATAACCTTTGTCCACCATGAATGCAAAGTTTTCACGACTGCTTTCGGAATTCAAATCTCAGCCTTGAACCAAGACAGGGGATCAAAACTCCTTCTTTGACCCCACACTTCCAGAGCCCCGGATGGCTCTGAGGACTGTGCCCCCCCACCCCCGGCTCACACTCAGAGACCCCGCGAGGCTGAGGACCGTGCCCCCCCCCCCCCCCCCGGCTCACACTCAGAGACCCCGCGAGGCTGAGGACCGTGCCCCCCCCCACCCCCGGCTCACACTCAGAGACCCCGCGAGGCTGAGGACCGTGCCCCCCCCCGGCTCACATGGACCCCGCCAGGCTGAGGACCGTGCCCCCCCCTCCGTCCAGGCTCACACTCATGAACCCGCCAGGCTGAGGACTGTGCCCCCCCACCCCCGGCTCACATGGACCCTGCCAGGCTGAGGACTGTGCCCCCCCCCCAGGCTCACACTCACGGACCCCGCCAGGCTGAGGACCGTGCCCCCCCCCCGCTCACATGGACCCCCGCCAGGCTGAGGACCGTGCCCCCCCACCCCCGGCTCACATGGACCCCGCCAGGCTGAGGACCGTGCCCCCCCACCCCCCCCCCGCTCACATGGACCCGCCAGGCTGAGGACCGTGCCCCCCCCCCTGCTCACATGGACCCCGCCAGGCTGAGGACCGTGCCCCCCCCCCCCCCCGCTCACATGGACCCCGCCAGGCTGAGGACCGTGCCTCCCCCCCCCCCCCCCCCCCGCTCACATGGACCCCGCCAGGCTGAGGACCGTGTGCCCCCCCCCCCCCCGCTCACATGGACCCCGCCAGGCTGAGGACCGTGCCCCCCCCCCGCTCACATGGACCCCGCCAGGCTGAGGACCGTGCCCCCCCCCCGCTCACATGGACCCCGCCAGGCTGAGGACCGTGCCCCCCCCCCCGCTCACATGGACCCCGCCAGGCTGAGGACCGTGCCCCCCCACCCCCGGCTCACATGGACCCCGCCAGGCTGAGGACCGTGTGCCCCCCTCCGTCCAGGCTCACACTCATGAACCCGCCAGGCTGAGGACTGTGCCCCCCCCCCTGCTCACATGGACCCCGCCAGGCTGAGGACCGTGTGCCCCCCTCCGTCCAGGCTCACACTCATGAACCCGCCAGGCTGAGGACCGTGCCCCCCACCCTGCTCACACTCACGGACCCCACCAGGCTGAGGACCGTGCCCCCCCACCCCCCGCTCACATGGACCCCGCCAGGCTGAGGACCGTGCCCCCCCCCCCGCTCACATGGACCCCGCCAGGCTGAGGACCGTGCCCTCCCCCCGCTCACATGGACCCTGCCAGGCTGAGGACCGTGCCCCCCCCTGCTCACATGGACCCCGCCAGGCTGAGGACCGTGCCCCCCCCCCTGCTCACATGGACCCCGCCAGGCTGAGGACCGTGCCCCCCCACCCCCGGCTCACATGGACCCCGCCAGGCTGAGGACCGTGCCCCCCACCCCCCCCCCGCTCACATGGACCCGCCAGGCTGAGGACCGTGCCCCCCCCTGCTCACATGGACCCGCCAGGCTGAGGACCGTGCCCCCCCCTGCTCACATGGACCCCGCCAGGCTGAGGACCGTGCCCCCCCCCCCCGCTCACATGGACCCTGCCAGGCTGAGGACCGTGCCCCCCCCCTGCTCACATGGACCCCGCCAGGCTGAGGACCGTGCCCCCCCCCCCCCCCGCTCACATGGACCCTGCCAGGCTGAGGACCGTGCCCCCCACCCCCCACTCACATGGACCCCGCCAGGCTGAGGACCGTGCCCCCCCCCCCCCGCTCACATGGACCCCGCCAGGCTGAGGACCGTGCCCCCCCACCCCCGGCTCACATGGACCCCGCCAGGCTGAGGACCGTGCCCCCCCCCCCCCCCCGCTCACATGGACCCTGCCAGGCTGAGGACAGTGCCCCCCCACCCCCGGCTCACACTCACGGACCCCGCCAGGCTGAGGACCGTGCCCCCCCCACCCCCGGCTCACACTCACAGACCCCGCCAGGCTGAGGACCGTGCCCCCCCATCCCGGCCCGCCACTCACGGGACTTCTTGGTGACCACGCTCACTTCGCCGCTGGCGGGCCCGTAGCCCGCTCCGTTGTAGGCCCTCACGGTGATGTGGTACAGCGTGTTTCCTTCCAGCCCGGTCAGGACCACGAAGGACTCGTTCCCCCGGGTCTTGACCGTCTCTGCGGTGCCCTCCTCCTCCGTGTCTTTCCAGTAGCCAACCTGCCAACATGTCAGACAGGACGCGAGTTCAGGACAGAGGTCCCGGTGAAGATGCGGGAGGCCGGCTCTGGGAAGAGATCACCCCACATCAGCACCCGAAGGGCCGGGCGGGGTGCTGGGACTGTGCGTGCGGGGTCGATGAAGGGAGTGGGGCAGGACAGCGCCGCTTCCGCCATGGAGCTTGGGAAGGGAATTTTCTAAGCAAGAACCCGAGGGGTAACCCCTCAGGAAGGTGAATCACGACCTTCATGCGGGGACGTGGGTGAGACGCAGAGAAACAGCGATGTTAAGACATGGGTGGGGGAGCTCCACCTCCCCTTCCCTCCCTTCGGCCCTTCCCTTTCCCTCTTTCCTTCTCCTGATCATTTTCTGAGTGCCCCTCCTCTCTCCCCCCCCCTCCTTCCCCCTCCCCCTCCCCTCCTCTCTGCCTCGTTCTCCTCCCTGTGTGTGGGGAGTGGAGCTGCCCCTGCCCTTCCTGCTGGCCAGCCCCGGGCAGGGGGTGTTTGCTTCTTCCTGCCGAGCCTCCGAGGCTGCAGGGCGGGCGCTCTGCGGGGCGTGGGGGGTGGTCGTGGTCGCAGGGCGTGGGGGGGGGGAGGAACTGACCAGCCACGGGGGGGGGGGGGGGGAGGGGAGGAACTGACCAGCCGCGGTGGGGTTCGCCCTGCGGGCTGCGCCCCTCCTCTGCGCAGGGACTCGCTCCTCAGCCCTCACCTCTGTCAGTCTCACTCGCAATGGATTTGCAAACTGCTTAATGTATGTCATAAACAGGGTTGCTGAAACTCCAGTAATTCAATCCTTTCCGACCGAACCCTGCCCGGAAGGCCTTTACCGAGCCTGACTCGTAGGAAAGGAGCCTAATAAAGTGGTCAAATCCTATTTTTTAACCCCATTTCCCCACCAAATTGAAAGCACATTATAGCTGAATGACTGAACTTCAGAAAATTGCTTTTGAAAGCTAGGAAGCGAGGAGCCTGGAATCCTATCTTTTCTCTGCTGCTGGCCCCATTATTTCTTGTTTCGAGAGCTAGCTCATCTTGGTCTTGAGCATATTTTTTTAGCCAAAAAAAAAAAAAAAAATCTAGGTTATTTTCAAGCTGCAGAATTGGCTGAGAAGTAGTTGGGTGAACAAATGCTAGCTTTCCTTCCTAGTGCTGTATCTGACTTCCTTGTCTCTCCAGTAGCCATTGGCTGCATCACAGGATGCCAAATACAATTATGGTCAGAAAGAACTGAGTTGGATTGAGTAACAGATGACAAAGTTTGCTGCTAATACAGACCGGCATGAATTCTGCTCATACAGACCAGCATGAATTCTGCTCATACAGACTGGCATGAATTCTGGACCGCCAGATATTGACTATTGGGTGGTTTGATGAACCTCCATAATACAAACTATCCCAAGGAAACTATAAAATGTCCGTTACGTAACTCACTGTGAGGACAGTGTCACCTGAGTCTCCAGAGAGAAATCGGAGGGAAGGGGTGTGGTGGGTGTGGCGTGGAAGGGAGCAGGGGCAGGACACACCCAGAGGGAGAGCGGGTGGCTGGGAAGCAGGCCAAGTTCCAGAGGGCTCTGAAGTAGGAGTCGGGGTGGAGGAGCCACTGTCAGACTTGTGTTTTGGGAAGATGCAGCAGGGGAAGGCTGCTTGCTGGGGGCGCTGCGGGCTCCGCTGCACTGTGGCTGTGCTGGGCTGCCTGTGGAATAAACCCCTTCTCAAGGCCGCACCGTGGTACAAGTCTCCACTCCGTGAGATCTCTGCATCTCCCCAGCGCCGGTGTCCTGCACCGGCCTGCAAGGAAACAGCCCCAAATCCAGTCCCGCTGCCGGCTGGCGGCTGGCGGCCCCGCTCCTCACCCTTGCCTCCTCCTCCAGTTTCAGCGTCACTGAGAATCTTCCGCAGCCATTTCCCCAAGGAGACCTTCCCCTCCTCAGCTGCATCCCTGGCTGCCGTTTATCACGATGATTACTACTTGTAATTGCAAGTGCGTGAAATTACCCTCATTCCTCTGTTGATGCTCTCCTTTAAGATGGTACAGAGATAATTGGTCCTGCTGGATGTGAAGAACTGATGGTGATCAGGTGGCACAGTGTCTCCAATCAGGAGAGGCCGCTGGGCTGGACCTGGGGACCCCCAGGGCTGCTGGACAGGGCCTGGGGGGCGGGGGGGACCCCCAGAGGTGCTGGACAGGGCCTGGTAGGTGGGGGACCCCCAGAGGTGCTGGCCTGGCCTGGAGGTGGGTGTGACACCCAGAAGTATTGCCATCATGAATGTTTTGAACATGGAACCAAATGACTTCCGGGGAAAGCTTAGCTATGGGGGACAAACAGGGTGCTTTCGGGTTTTAAAATTCCTTGGAAGTGTGTGAAAGTGGTTCGTCCTTCAGGATGGAGGCGTCCCTGGGGGCGAGTGTTCCTTCTTTGACCTTTAAACTGCATTTTCTTGTTTCTTTTCACTCTGCATTTGCTGCTGCTTTTACTTCCAAGGTTTCTATCTTCTTCGAGGACACCCATTTATGGGCCAAATCTGTCTGTCCTTCGCATCCACCGTCTTCTCTTTCACCGTAGAACGTAGGCATTTTCTTACTCACTCACGTTTCCTTCCAGGTCATTTTTCAGGTTTAAGTATTTAGCCATACCAGGCATGCCCGGGTGTCTTAAGGCTTCCAATAGGTATGTTTTATCTTGGTGACTGTGTTCCTAATGATCTCACTCCCCGTATCTAGAAATGTTCTTGAAACTGAAGAGACTATTCTTGTGCACTGTGTGGAGAGTTAAAGGATATCTTTAGCAATTGTCTTCTTATCTGTAGAATAAGCCTTTAGGAGGACGGGGATGCGGGCTCTTTCTGCTTGGGCCAGTGGTGGAGAGGAGTTCCTCACCCCAGCCCAGGGCTGTGCTCTGGGGCTGACCCAGGGGAGGGCCGGCTGCCTGTACAGTCTTCCAGAAAACACACAGAAGCCTGGGCCCGGCGGGGTGCAGTTTGTTTCACTGAAGCAAAAATAAAGAAGGAAGAGGCCAGAGGCTATTTCGCTGCTTGCTTGAACCTAGAAAATGGGATTTTGCAGCTGGGTCATTGCACAGAGATGAAAGGGAAGCAAACAGAGAGCGCCGTAAGGATTTAGTTCCCTCGGCTAGCTGTGTCTGCGGAGGACCGTGGGCTCTCAGGGGAATTTACATGTGGCCACCTGATGCACTGCCAGCCCTAACACGGACCTGGCAATTGGTGGGACTGGAGGCTAGAGCAGAAATGTCAGTTAGCCTACTGTCCCGCCCAGTCCTTCACCGGCAGGTGCCCCGTGAAACGTGACTGACTTTTCCTGTTCCTCCTTGGAGGGGGAGGTGGGGGGAGAGGGGTGCCCTTCCCGGCTGGAGGCTGGTAGAGGCCTGGATTGTTGGATCTGGTTGGTCTGCAGGTTCCTAATCTCCTGGGTTTAGCTGTGGGTCGAGTTATTAAATTGACTATTCACAATCAATGCTCTGTGATGTGATGGCTGGTAAGGTTGCAGGCTGATTCCTTGCTTTGTGCCCAGAGGCAATTTTGTCATAAAGGAAGGACACAATTTAATGAATCAAATCAAATAAATAATGCTTAAACTTCTGAATATTTATGAGGCAATCCAATAATGATTAGAAGATATGAAATGAAGGTTAGAATACAACAGACCATAATAATGAATACCATTTACTGAATAAATTTATATTTATTTTTGAGAATGTTAATTTCTAAAAAAAACAAGATGATTTCTACAAATATAATTTTGTTTTTAAATGCGTTTAGTTTAGTAAGAATCTTTAATGCATTAACTTCCTTCACATTCCTAAGCGTTCTAAATGAGCACGTTGATTAAGAAAATTCTGGAATCATTTGATTCCAACTGATGTAATATCAAGTGTTGGTGCGATGACCTGTGACCCTGTCTACTAACACATGTTAATTAAAAGAATAAAAGTTAATACTTTCAGGAAAATCATAATCTTGGGATGAACTTAATTATATTAGGTAATGCTAGAGACTAAGTGTTCTGGAGACCACAGACCTAATAGATTAATTAGAAAAGGATGGAAGCTGAAAACCATAGACCTATAGATCTGAAGATGGTTGAAGTCAAAAGAAGAACACAGTAAGGGTAGAAGTGGTCCCTCAAACCAGAAAAGCAAGAGGATAAAGCCAACACTACTTCCTTGGGAAGATTCAACATTTATAAATGTCTTTTAATCAAAGTGATCTGGTGATTGAAAGAGACAGTGGGATGGTGGGAGGAGGGGGGTGAAGAGAGGGAGGGAAGGAGAATACAAACTATTGATGCAAAAACGCCCAGTACAGATCTGAGGGACAGTAAAGAAATACTGGTAGGAATCTGGATGAGTGAATCTGTCCAGAGGAGAAAGCAGAAATCTGAGAAACATTCAAAAGCAGGGCAGAGTTCCCCCCGAGAAGTTCAAACTAGAGCAAGGAAGAGTTGTATTTGTGGCTATTTTGTTGGAATTCCTCTACAAATGCCCTCTTCTTTGTGGTAGAGAAAGTTGGAAGTTGCTGTATCCGGTGGAATGGAAAAGGAAGGCTCAAGTGGTAGAGTGTAAGGCCCTGAGTTCAAATCCTGTACTTTCCCCTCTTCCCCCAGAGAACGTATTCCCAACCTATGTACACCTAGCAAGTTATTTTTTCTAAGTTTATATTTTAGGAATTAAAAATTATGTTTGATAAAACGATGTGGCTGCTGAGGAAGACTGTGTGGAGTTGTTTATAAATGGACAATTAGGCAAGACAGACAAACAGCCCCTCATGTCGATTCCATTTCATAATACAAAGTTAGAGAGAAATGTTAATTCGAAACAGAGATGATTGTTGTTCTGTGCCTCCCAAAGTAAAGAAAAGTTCAACACCTACACTAACAGAGATCAAGACGTAGAAAGCGAAGCGCTCCATTGACGGTGAACTCGGGGCTTCGGGGGGAGGTGGACGGTGCTCTGGGCACCCTCTTCCCGTGACACAGGGACCCCAGATGCCTCCTCCGTGAGTGTGAGTGAGGGGAGCTAGCCGCCTGCAACGTGGCTCCGGAGAAGCCGTGGGCTACGTGTGCACAGAACAGTAGGAATAGACCCGCAGAATGCGGGAGGAAAGTGTAAGACGTGAAACCTCCGTGTGACCCTCCGTGGCTGAGGCCGCCGGTGTGAGGGCAGAGGGGCGTGTGCGGACGCTGGGAGCCCGGGCCTGTCAGGCTCTGTCTCTTACATGCGGCTGTGGCTGTCCGGTATGAACTCTGCAGCCAGTGGCTGGGCAGTGTTAGGGATGTATGCACTTTCATCTGTGGATTGTTTTGAAGCCTTACCTTTGGGCAATCACCTCCTCACTGAGAAGTAGGCAACTGGCCAACGGTAATCTGTGCTTGAGGCACGGTGGTGCTTTCCCTAAAGGTGCGCGGCTACGTCATGAGCCATCTCCTTTCCTGGTGCAAGAAGCCGGCTTTGGTCTGTGTCTGCTCTGTCACAGACGCATTGCCAGATCAAAATGTAAACCCAGACTTCCTCAGGAAGAACTGGTTGCAAATGGGTTGTCCTACAAAAATGTCCACTAACATAATCAAGCATTTGTTGCCATTTGCAAGTTTACTTTTGCATAAAATGTGCACTATGAGTTGAGGGGAAGATGGGCAGGTGGCTGCCGAGCCCACAGGGGTCTGGGACAAAGGATAAGAAAACACCTCCTTTTGACAAGGTCCATTTTATGTGGCCATATGCACATAGCTATTGAGCCATTGTGATCCTCTCCTAAGAACATCCTCCTTTGTTCTCAGTGTGGGAATGCTCAGAGTGCTGTTTAACTAATCATATCCAAGTGTAATTATTTGTCTTTTACAATCCATTGGATTAATTTGTAGATTTATAGACGTATTCTAGTTCCAAGAAATAGAAACAAGAGGCTTGTTAAAATTGTATTATTTGCGGTTCTTTTTTCTTTCTTTTTTCTCCTTTGGCTTATTCCCTGTTGTCACTGTTTTTGGTTTCAGCACCCTTTGTCTTGTATATAATTTTATCTGATTTGGGGAAGGGAAGGGGAATTACAGAAATGGTGGGACAAAGGGTAATTCAATCCAACACTGATACTCACTAGACACTATGTTGGAAATGAACTATATGACTAGGGAGGGAGGGGTCGGGAGGGAAAAACTGGGAGAAAATGAGGGAGGGGGTCAACTGTTCAAAAATAAGTGTCCTCATTACCTGACTTATGTAACTGTAACCCCTCTGTACATCACCTTTACAATAAAATTTAAATTAAAAAATACCTCCTTAAAAGTGACATAGTGAGTTCACATCTATATCCAAGAGGGGAAATTGGAAATGCTTCTGAATATGAAAAATGAGCGACCGATCCTTTGTGACAAAACAATCTACTCAGCTGAATATTCTTAAAAAATAAAGGGCTTCAGTTCCAAAATGTTAGTAGAGAAGCTTGAAAACATTCCTTCCATGAATCTAGCATAATATGAGAAGTCTATTATAAAAGACTGCTAAAGAACTTTGGAATCACTTTGGGACCATGAAAACTGTGTTTGTATCCTTGATTTTTTTTTTTTTAAAGTGAACTTATTGATGCTTTTTAAAACTTTAGCTATACTGAAGGTAAAATAAAATCAAGCTCTGTGACCATTAAAAAAAAACAGAATTACAGAAAAAGGAGTAATTAATTTGTTAATGAATTGTTTCACAGGGAATGACTGAAATACTATATTTTTGACTTGCTGATTTTTGAAAATCCATGGCTTCAGTCTCACAGTTTATGAAAATAAACAAAGGAGATAGATTGAGAGAGAGAGAGAAAGAGAGAGAAAATCTGAGCATCTAAGTCAGAGTACACAGGCTTTCTAGAAAGAAGTAATAGAATTGTCATCTTCTTTTTCCTCTTACGGTTTAGTTTTTTATATTCTTATGTTCATATAGTCATAATGAAGCATGAGACTCTAAAACATCTGCTACCCCACCATATGGGAAAGAAAAGCGTCTTTGTTTCAGCCTTTTAGTAACTGGCTTTATTTTAGCTGCATTTCCCTTTGAACTTGAATCTGACAATCCGTTTTCCCTTCCTGACAAACGCATCGAATGCAATCTGCCCAGCATGAGCTATGTATAGTCAGACGTGGCCAGCACCATTTGTTTTTGCCTCCTGCTCTAATGATTAGAGTCGGACCATAATGAGTGAGAACAGCCATCTTGTCCCTTAAGAAATTTTCACCACAACTTATTTTATAAAACAAAATACAATTTGTGCCTTTTTGGTGCAATCCATAAGTAGAAATGGCTGTAGTGACATGTCTGAAATGAAGTCCTGAATCACACATCCACAGGAAGATTAGAAAAGAACACCAAGTCTCACACACTGCCCACAGAAACAGCAGCCAGGGCGCCGGTGCCCGTGGAAAATGGGTCAAACTCCCTTCTCCTTCCTTTTCCTCTTAATAATAAACACAGAAGCGTTCAGACTTGAAACAAGGGCACAACACTTGTCCCTGCGATAAAAAATTGCACGTTGCTTACTGTTAAAATGATTCCAACTACTAAGAAAGTAGAAGTACAGTTCATTCTCTTGCAAAACACAGACAAACAAAAGACAACCAGACTAACCCGTAAGCACGGGAGGCTGCTCTGCACTCAGAACACAGCGTGCCACATGCAGAAAAAGTGTTGAAAAGTTCTGCTTCCCATTTCTCTCAATCAGTGCAGGTATTTTGTTGATGGTTGTGAGGCAAATGGAAGGTATTTAAGGACAGAAGTGTTTGTTCACACAAAGAACCTGAGACCCTTGAGGACTCAGATGCCGAGTGCTCCCGGGACCACTATGCGGTAAGAACCGCATTGTTCTGGTATGCCCTTTGTTTACACTAACTTCTCCCAAACCGCCCCAGTGGTAGCCGCTGCGTTTGGGGAGAAGGATGAGGTTTTCCACGTCTGTCCTGTCTAGTTCTAGCACAGTGCCTGATGCTCAGCGACCGCTCGATGAGGAGGAACGCCACCAAGGGATCCTCTCCCTGCATTAACTCCATTTCTCTCCTCGTCTTCCTGATCTGGGAAAATCGATGGAAAGTGATGTGATCTGGCCTTCTCCTCTCCTTTCTGGCCAGACTGACATCGCTCTGAATCTAAACGCTCAGGGAAGCCCTTGCCTGCCCCGGAGTGTGGAGGGGCTGCTCTATGCATCCAGTACGGACCAGTCACGGGATGAGGTCTCACCGCAGGGTCATACGTTCGAGATGTAGCCCCGTAACCTGCATGGGGCTGTGGCGGGGCCGTGGCAGGGATGGAGCCTGGGCAGGGCCGGGCGGGGCCGTGGCGGGGCGTGATGGAGCCGGGGCAGGGCCGGGCGGGGCCGTGGCAGGGCGTGATGGAGCCCGGCCACGGCGGCAATCCCCTCGGGGGTCATGCTTATCCGTGGAGCCCAGCTGCTCCGTAAATTGTGACACTGCGACTTTCAATCGCGCCACCTGTCCTCAGCTGGCAGCACCATGTATGTCCATGTCAAGGCTTTCCACGGTTAGTGTCTGCAGCCTCAGCCTCTCTCTCAGCTCATCAGTACGTAGTGAAAACTCTCTCGGGCTTGTTCAGGGAAAGTCGGCCCCGCGGCTCCAGTTCGGGGAACTGCGTGAGCAGTGGGCACATGGGTGATGTGCAGCCGGTCGGAGGGCTGCACTAGCTGCACCTAACTGAACTCCCACCAGCCATCCAGTGCAGGTGCCAGCGGAACAAAAAGACGTTTTCAACCCGGGAAGCATGGTAAGAGTTTAAGTCCTGTCCAAATCACCAGAGAGCCAGCCGATTTTCTCTTGGTGGAAGTTGAAACAGAGGAAAAGGAAGAATTACAAATGAACATGACAGTCCCTCCACTCCTCTCCAAATGTTTCTGTGAAATAGAAGGATCGATCCCAAGCTCGGCAGCCTCGCTCTCAGTCCAAGACCGGGCAGGGACCCAATGACAAAAGATGAACACAGATGCAAAGCTCCTCAATAAAATTATAGCCAACAGAGTTCAGCAAGTAATAAACAAATCATATATTATGATCAAGCAGGTTTCATCCCAGGGATGCAAGGTTGGTTTAACATGTGTAAACCAATAACGGTAATACATCACATCGACAGAGCCAAGAGCAACCACCACAGGATCATCTCAACAGATGCAGAAAATGCCTTTGACAAAACCCAACGTCCATTCGTGTTAAAAGCTCTGGAAAAGCTACGAATAGAGACAACACATCTCAAAATGCTAAGCCTATACATGACAGACCGACAGCCAACATCATAATAGTGAAAAATTAACAACAAAGAATGTCCATTCTCTGCACTCTTCTTCTATAGTTCTGGAATTCCTAGCTAAAGCAATGAGCATGAAGGCAAGAAAAAGACACAAAAGGGATTCACATAGGGAAAGAAGAAATCTATCCCTAGTTGCAGAGGACAGGATCTTGTATCTGGAGGACTCAAAAGCCTCTATCTCAAGCTCCTAATTATGATCGATAACTGGCATAGTAGCAGGATACAAAATTAATCCACCCCAAACCAGTAGCCGTTCTGTATATCAACAAAGCACAAGCAGAGAGGGAAATCAGGAAAAAGCCAAAAAACTCCATTCACAGTAGCCTCAAATAAAACCCCATTTGTTCACCAGTAAACATCCACCTAGAGTTCCCGGGTTTGTGTCAGCCTAGTTCCGTCTCTTTTAAGAAATCTTTGCGTGGTGCTCTGGCCGCTGCAGGGGAGCGGCGGCTGCGCTGTCAGCCAAGCGGCCTGGCGTCCCCCCAACCCGGAGCCAGATTCCAGAGGAGGGTGGTGGGGGTCACCAGGCCAGCGGGGAGCGTGGGCTGCGGAGGAAACCACTCCCCGATTTCCTACCTCGAATCCCTGTGGGCGCCCCAGGCTCTCCGCAAGGTGTCTCCAGGCCACCAGGATCTCTGACACCGACACACTGGTGGCTTGCACGTCTGTGGGGGCAGCGCTGGGCTCTGCGGAGGGAACACGGGGGAAAAGACTCAGCTGTGACACACTGCACCCAAGTGAGGCACCTGTGACCCCCGGGGAGGGGAGACTCCTTCCTGTCCTCTGACCCCCAGGTGTGAACTCCTTCCTGTCCTGTGGCCCCCAGGTATGAACTCCTTCTTGTCCTGTGACCCCCAGGTGTGAACTCCTTCCTGCCTGACCCCCAGGTGTGAACTCCTTCCGGTCCTGTGACCCCCAGGTGTGAACGTCTTCTTGTCCTGTGACCCCCAGGTGTGAACGTCTTCCTGTCCTGTGACCCCCAGGTGTGAGCATCTTCCTGCCTGACCCCCAGGTGTGAACTCCTTCCTGTCCTGTGACCCCCAGGTATGAACTCCTTCCTGTCCTGTGACCCCCAGGTGTGAATGTCTTCCTGTCCTGTGACCCCCAGGTGTGAGCGTCTTCCTGTCCTGGGGCCCCCAGGTATGAACTCCTTCCTGTCCCGTGGCCCCCAGGTGTGAGCGTCTTCCTGTCCTGTGACCCCCAGGTGTGAGCGTCTTCCTGTCCTGGGACCCCCAGGTGTGAGCATCTTCCTGCCTGACCCCCAGGTGTGAACTCCTTCCTGCCTGACCCCCAGGTGTGAACTCCTTCCTGTCCTGTGACCCCCAGGTGTGAGCGTCTTCCTGTCCTGGGACCCCCAGGTGTGAGCATGTGTCTGTCTTATTCTGATGCAGAGGTTGGCAGTGTTTATGGAGAACACAAGATAGCGAGAATCTCTCTCTCCGTCTCTGAGTATGGCGGGGTCTCGGGGCGCCAGTGATGGTGGCTGGTCTGCAGGAGTTGTTATCTGTGGGTCACCTGGGACACTTACGGAGTGGCTACACAATCTGACTTGGATGGTCTCGCGTAGGAGCAAGAGAATGGACAGTGTGGCCAGGCTTCACCGCCTCTAAACCTGACCGCACGAGTGTATACATGGACCGAAGGCCATGCGGACCCTACTGTGAGATGTCTCATTAAAAAGAAAAGTTTGGGTTGGGTGGAGTGGCTCAAGCCTCTGATCCCGGCTGCTTGGGAGGAGGTATGAGGCCACCTTGGGCCTGACGGTGCCCAAGACTATTTTTAATCAAGGGCTGGTGGATGGTGCGCGCCTGCAATCCTGGCTACGGGAGCTGGGGAGGAGGCACTGTGGCAGGCAGGGAAGCGTGAGGCCGAGGCATGACATCCACGCCAGCCCTGCTTAGAAAAGCAAAGCAGTGGAAGGGGCTGGCGGAGCGGCTCACAGGGAGAGCACCTGCTCCCGCAGAGCGCCTCTAGCCAAGGTGAGGCCCGAGTTCAATCCCCAGTACCTCCTGAATAGGTATTGCAACCTACTGCATCTTGGTAAAACGTGCTACCTCCCTTTTCTGCTTCTCCCATCTGTAATATGGGAGTGATAAACATTTCTCAGGGCTTGCGTGCTTCCTTGAGCTTCAGTGCTCAAGGCTGGTGCTCTATCACTGGAGCCACAGCTCCACTTTGGCATTTTGGCACCTAATCGGAGGCAAGAGTCCCATAGACATTCCTGCCCTGGCTGGCTTTGAACCGTGATCCTCAGATCTCAGCCTCCTGAGCAGCTAGGATGACAGGCGTGAGCCACCACGCCCGGCTTACCTTATAGATTATTTTTAACATAGTTTTAATTGGAATTGTACTATAGTTACGTATAACATGCACATGTGCAAAGGATTGCATTTATAATACTGTTTACTCCACGTAGGCACAAATGGAGTAAATTTCACTTGATTTCTGATGTTCCAACCCCAAGGCTATGTGTCCAGGCGCTGGGAGTGAGCTGTGAATATTTAAAGGGCAGGCGCTGACTTTTACGACAGGTGCCAGTGAACAGGACTGTTTCTGAAGGCCCAGCTGGTGGGCTGTTTGTTTCTGTTTTCTGCTCGGGGTGGCCTTTCCCAGTCTTCCTGTACACACGTCTGAGTGGCGTCTGTCAAGAAGTGTATTTTATTTGAGGTTGCACGCTCCATGAGCAACAAAATATTTCTAGCTTTGACATGGCCGCGCGATATCAAACACATGTGAGATGAATGGTAGAAGAAAGGCCGTGTAGTAGGTCAAACAGTTCTGTACGAAGTCTATTAAAAATTCTACCCCACAGAAACCAGAGAGACCTCAATACGAACCCCTTATCATTGGGAAAAGTTCAGATTAATCTGTTGAAATAATTATTGGGGGGTTTTGTCTTTTATTCCCTTTTGGATTTGGGAAATCATGTAGAGGGAGAGAATTTTAAAACAATTGAATACCTTTTTTTTTCAAGGTATTGTGACAGCCACGGGAAACATTACAAGCATTTCCTGAGATCTTTCCTCTTCTAGAGGAAGGCAGCTGTACACTCCATCTGGGCGCCTTTGTGTGTTATTAACGGAAAAATACCAGCCAGGAACAGCTATCCTGTGCTGCAAATGAAGACTTTTTCAAGGGTATGTATTTGTATCAGGCAATGATTTTCTTTTGGTAAAACCTTCTACAATCACATGCTACAGTCACGTCAACTCGAAGAGCTTGGCGAATTCACGTTAATCTTCTCACCCCGGCCAATGTTAATTCCCATCACGAACGCGCTGTGAGTCCCCGTTCTGCGCCCTTTGAGTGCGTTTTGCTCTCTCCTTTTGCTCGGTGGTTTCTCACCTTACGTTACTCGTGCGTCAACTCAATGTAAAACAACACGTGTTTCCTCCCAGGACAAGGAGGCCAGCTGACCAATCACAGCTTCTTCTCCATTGTAATTTTCTAGGAGCTTAAATGCTTGATTTTTGTGTGCACACGAAAGGAGCGTGGTGTGCTCGAATGTGGGTGCGGACAGGGTGCGGTTTACGTGGTGGGGCCACGTGGTGCCGTCTGTCATTGCCTGGGTGGATGCTGGCCAGGCCTCGGCTTCTGCATTACTGAAGCAAACACATCTCCCTCAAACAGGACGGGGTAACGATCCAGAACAGCCCGTCCCCTCCCGACCCCTGTCCTGGTGCAGCCCCCTTGCCTGCCCCCCTCCCAGTGCAGCCCGGCCCTACCATCCCCTCCCAGTGCAGTGGTGGTGACAGTGCTGGTGACGGTGGTGGTGCAGTGGTGGTGACGGTGTTGCTGACGGTGGTGGTGACGGTGTTGCTGATGGTGTTGGTGGTGTTGGTGATGGGGGTAGTACAGTGGTAGTGACGGTGTTGGTGACAGTGTTGGTGGTACAGTGTTGGTGACAGTGTTGGTGACAGTGTTGGTGACGGTGTTGGTGACGGTGTTGCTGACGGTGGTGGTGACAGTGTTGGTGATGGTGTTGGTGATGGTGTTGGTGATGGGGGTAGTACAGTGGTAGTGACGGTGTTGGTGACAGTGTTGGTGACGGTGTTGGTGGTACAGTGTTGGCGGTACAGTGTTGGTGACAGTGTTGGTGACGGTGTTGGTGGTACAGTGTTGGTGGTACAGTGTTGGTGACGGTGTTGGTGACGGTGTTGGTGACGGTGTTGCTGATGGTGTTGGTGACGGTGGTGGTGCAGTGGTGGTGACGGTGTTGCTGACGGTGGTGGTGACGGTGTTGCTGACGGTGGTGGTGACGGTGTTGCTGATGGTGTTGGTGGTGTTGGTGATGGGGGTAGTACAGTGGTAGTGACGGTGTTGGTGACAGTGTCGGTGGTACAGTGTTGCTGACGGTGTTGCTGACGGTGTTGCTGATGGTGTTGCTGACGGTGTTGGTGACAGTGTTGGTGACGGTGTTGGTGACGGTGTTGCTGACGGTGTTGGTGACAGTGTTGCTGATGGTGTTGGTGATGGTGTTGGTGATGGGGGTAGTACAGTGGTAGTGACGGTGGTGGTGCAGTGTTGGTGGTACAGTGTTGGTGACGGTGTTGGTGACGGTGTTGGTGACGGTGTTGGTGACGGTGTTGCTGACGGTGTTGGTGACGGTGGTGGTGCAGTGTTGCTGATGGTGTTGGTGACGGTGTTGGTGACGGTGTTGCTGATGGTGTTGGTGACGGTGGTGGTGACGGTGTTGCTGATGGTGTTGGTGACAGTGTTGGTGACGGTGTTGGTGGTACAGTGTTGGTGACGGTGTTGGTGACGGTGTTGGTGACGGTGTTGGTGACGGTGTTGCTGACGGTGTTGGTGACGGTGTTGGTGACGGTGTTGGTGGTACAGTGTTGGTGGTACAGTGTTGATGACGGTGTTGGTGACGGTGTTGGTGACGGTGTTGGTGACGGTGTTGGTGATGGTGTTGGTGACGGTGGTGGTGCAGTGTTGCTGATGGTGTTGGTGACGGTGTTGGTGACAGTGTTGCTGACGGTGTTGGTGACGGTGGTGGTGCAGTGTTGGTGACGGTGTTGGTGACGGTGTTGGTGACGGTGTTGGTGACGGTGTTGGTGACGGTGTTGGTGACGGTGTTGGTGACGGTGGTGGTGCAGTGTTGCTGACGGTGTTGCTGATGGTGTTGCTGACGGTGTTGCTGACGGTGTTGCTGATGGTGTTGGAGACGGTGTTGGTGACAGTGTTGCTGATGGTGGTGGTGACGGTGGTGGTGCAGTGTTGCTGATGGTGTTGGTGACGGTGTTGGTGACGGTGGTGGTGACAGTGGTGGTGCAGTGTTGCTGATGGTGTTGGTGACGGTGTTGGTGACGGTGTTGCTGACGGTGTTGCTGATGGTGTTGGTGACGGTGTTGGTGACAGTGTTGCTGACGGTGGTGGTGACGGTGGTGGTGCAGTGTTGCTGATGGTGTTGGTGACAGTGTTGCTGACGGTGTTGGTGACGGTGGTGGTGCAGTGTTGCTGATGGTGTTGGTGACGGTGTTGGTGACAGTGTTGCTGACGGTGTTGGTGACGGTGGTGGTGCAGTGTTGCTGATGGTGTTGCTGACGGTGGTGGTGACGGTGTTGCTGACGGTGTTGGTGACGGTGTTGCTGACGGTGTTGCTGACGGTGTTGGTGACGGTGGTGGTGCAGTGTTGCTGATGGTGTTGGTGACGGTGTTGCTGACGGTGTTGCTGACGGTGTTGGTGACGGTGGTGGTGCAGTGTTGCTGATGGTGTTGCTGACGGTGGTGGTGACGGTGTTGCTGACGGTGTTGGTGACGGTGGTGGTGCAGTGTTGCTGATGGTGTTGGTGATGGTGGTGGTGCAGTGGTGGTGATGGTGGTGGTGCAGTGTTGGTGGTACAGTGTTGGTGACAGTGTTGGTGACGGTGTTGCTGACGGTGTTGCTGACGGTGGTGGTGTCGGTGGTGGTGCAGTGTTGCTGGCTGCTGGCTGCCGTGGGAAGAAGCAGAGCAGCGGCGCCAGTGTCTTCCCTGGCCCCACCGTGGGCTGGGTTGGTAGAAGAACAGCACGCAGGTAGCCCATGTGTTAATCCAGGCTGCACCGCAGCCCCAGCAGGGGAGGGTGAGGGTCCATGGCACCAGGAGCAGCAGGACCTGGTGAGTTCATCAGAGGTCGTGATTGTTTCAAAGAACAGGTTGATCTTGCCATGGCCGCTTCTCATCAAGAGCAGCATGTCTCCGCGTGTCTAAAGAGGTGCTTGCTGCCTGCGCCCTTTTGTTCTGTAGCTCACGCTGAGGGGCGTGGCTCGAGGGTGGAGTCTCTGCCAAGCGGGTGCCAGGTGTGAGTTTGAACCCTGGTTCCACAGAGCAGAAGGCTGACCTGCCATCGTCACTCAGGACACCTGTTGAAAGGGCGGCTGGGCGTGAGAGCAGACGGAGGAGCTTCAGGCCTCAGACCCCAGCGCGAGCCTCCGCGGACCCGGCTCCGCAGCGCCCCGCTCCGCGCTGGCCTGTGCTGAGCAGAGGCAATTTAACAATGCTAGCATGTGACTCGCGTCACCCGTAAACTTCCAAACCTGGAAATTTCATTAATGAGAAACGCCAAATGCGCGTTTGGATTTCATTGTCAGAACAAAGGCAGACTCTACCCCAGCTTCATTTGCCTGGGATCTTTTCATATGTAGTTGCCAAAACCCAGTGAAGTGTTCCCAGGGAACTGGCTACAGCAACAACCTCCATGTCTTTGAAAGGAAGTAACACACATTTCCTTTCTAGCTTGAAAGAGAAACTCCAAAGGCAAGCCATTTCAAGTTTAAGGGAATGTGGCCCATACAAAGCAACACCTCATGGTCGCTGCTGTGATTTAACTTCAAAGCAAAGGTGGCGAGGAGCCCACAAAGCTGCATTTCTCCCCCAGCTCTACCATTGTTCTAGAACATACTCGCCACCCTCCTCAGCGCTCAGCGCGCGGGGCCTGTGAGCCGGGGACTCGGGAACTAGTGGAAGCAGTTTTAAAGCAACAGGAGCTGCCTTCCTGAATAGAACACGCGGTTCAGAACAGCTCTTTGGAGTGACAAATGACGGAAACGGTCACTACCGCACGGGCTCCTGGTGGACAGCGCTGGTGGCACTGAGGCCCGGCGCTGGGGCCTGTGCTGATGGTGTGTCTGCACCTGTGACTCCGCCGCAGGAGACTCATGTTTCCAGAAAGTACATCGGGGTTTGAGAGTCTGACCACATGTGTGTCTTAAGTGTCAAATGAGAAGCTGATCTGAGACCTGAGATGTGAAGTGAATATCTGATTCCTCACCACCGCCACTCCGTTCTTTACTTTCTTGATATTATTATTATCATTTGTTGTTGTTTTACCTTTCAGTTTTGGAGTTTGAACTCAGGGCCTTGAGGTTGCTTGGCAGGTGCTCTACTGCTGGGCCACACCCCTGGGCCTGTGTTTTTGAGCTAGGGTATGGCATCTTGCCCAGGCATACACCCAGACTGTGATCCTCCCTTTTCAGGCTTCCATGACTCTGGGATGATAGGCGGGCACTGCTGAGTCCACCTCCCTCTGTTGAGATGGTGTCTCTTGGATTGTCCTGCTGGGGTGAATCCGTTATGAGCCACGCACTCGGCTCTGGTTAAGCTGGGGTCGAGGCAACGGGGCTGGGACCTCCATCTTCCCACACAGCCAGGATTCCAGCCTGGTCCACTGTGCCCAGGTCACTGGGATTTCTGGCCACGGACGTCCAGATCTCGCTCACTCCTGCCATTGTACCAGACTCAGCTCTTGCTCCAAAATCTGGCTTTACCAGAACTCCAGGCTTCAACAACCCACATCTTACATCAATCAAGCACGGCCTCGCTCTTGTGCACTCAAACACACTTGCTCATCTCTGCCCATGAAGCATGCGGCACAGAAACAGTTCCTCTGAGCAATTCCAGCCACACAGCAGGCCTGAAAGAGCAGCAGGCTGGCGGACGCTGACCGCGGACCGTGGACCTCGGAGGGGCCAAGCTGGGTCCCCATGGGAAGGACACGCTCGTGTGTGTGTGTGTGTGTGTGTGTGTGTGTGTCCCCTTGGGGATACGAGGCACTCCTTATTTTTACTCTTGAGGGACGGGCTGGAATTCCGCACAGGAGAAGCTGACTGACTTCCTGCTTTCTCAGGAAAGCGCGTGTGCACGAAAGCTGGCGGGCAGCGGGGCCTGCTGCTCTCCCCAGGCCAGGACTGGCCATCTGGCCATCGGGCCTCCACAGAGAATGCTCTCGTGGCCCTGACCAGTTAGCGAAGAATCAGGGACCACGGTGGTCACAAGCTGTAGTGAACTTTCCGGAACCTCTCCTTCTCGAGCTGTCCTGCAGGGGCAGTGGTGTGAAGGCCAGCAGAGAGCCTCGCGGTCCACTCGTGTCTCCAAGGGTGCGGCGGCCTGCTGGCGATCACTGTGCACAGCACCATGCGCTCTTGGAACCAGAGGCTCCGGATGGCTGTCCAGGGCAGGCGGGTCCGCCGCTGGGAAGGCCGGGAGGGGCCTGCGTGCGCGAATGTGTGGAAGAACGCCGCCAGCCCAGGGCTGAGCTCAACCAGTGCCACCGAGAGCACTGCCCCTCCCCAGAGCGGCGGGGTGGACGGGGGGGGATGGCAGGGGGGCAGGTGGAGTGGATGGGGCAGGCGGGGTGGACGGGATGGGTGGCAGGGGGGCAGGCGGGTGGATGGGGCAGGCGGGGTGGACGGGACGGGTGGCGGGGGGGGCAGGCAGGGTGGACGGGGCAGGCGGGTGGACAGGGCAGGCAGGGTGTATGGGACAGGTGGCAGGGGGGGCAGGCAGGGTGGATGGAAAGGGTGGGGGGGGTAGGCAGGGTGGATGGAAAGGGTGGGGGGGGCAGGCAGGGTGGATGGAAAGGGTGGGGGGGCAGGCAGGGTGGATGGAAAGGGTGGGGGGGGCAGGCGGGGTGGACGGGGCAGGCGGGGTGGACGGGGCAGGTGGGGTGGACGGGGCAGGCGGGGTGGATGGGGCAGGCGGGGTGGACGGGACGGGTGGCGGGGGGGCAGGGGGGGTGGACGGGACGGTGGCGGGGGGGCGGGGGGGTGGACGGGACGGTGGCGGGGGGGGCTGACCTCCTTCGGCCGAGCGGATGAGCACGGTGGGGCTGAAGGGCCCGTCGCCCCGGTTGTTGTAGACGCCCACCTTGACCTCGAAGGGCGTCCGCGGCGGCACGCTCTCGTCGCGGTAGACAAACTGCGCCGCCTCGGCCGAGGTCACCATCTTCTCCTTCCAGCCGCGCGTCCCGTTGGGGCGGAAGGCCACGATGTAGCCGAAGCCGGCTCCATTCTGGAACTCCTCTGACACAGGCTGCGCACGCATGCGGGCCAGGGTCATGACCGGCCGGTCCCCTCCCCTCCCCCTGGGATGACCGGCCTCTGTCCCTCCCCTCCCCCTGGGATGACCGGCCTCTGTCCCTCCCCTCCCCCTGGGATGACCGGCCTCTGTCCCCTCCCCTCCCAGGATGACCAGTCTCTGTCCCCTCCCCTCCTGGGATAAGCAGCCTCTGTCCCTTCCCTCCTGGGATGACCAGCCTGTCCCCTCCCCTCCCTCTGGGATGACCAGCCGCTGTCCCCTCCCCTCCCCCTGGGATGTCCAGGCCCCGTCCCCTCCCCTCCCCCACGCCCGCCCGGTCCTCACCTCCCAGGCGATGACCAGCTCTCTCCTCCGCCCGCTCCGCCCGCTCACATTGGTCGGCGCCGTCTTCGGAACTGGAGACAGGAATGGACGGACGTGGCGTGAGCAGCATCAGACCCTGCGATTCCTTACCACACGCACCTAGGTGTGCTGTGACGGCGGATGCTCTGCGTCCACCCTCTGCGGGGACGCCCGGGGGCCACGGGTGCCGGGGTCTCCATGTTGGTTCGCGGCATTGCCCCCTGTCCTGCGCCCCAGGGCCCCCAGCGTCACGCGGCCTGAACCCCAGTGTGGAGAACAGCAGCGCCGCCCCGTGAGGAGCACACACACAAGGCGCGGGTTCTCCACGCCGGTGCGCGGCGGGTGCACAGGCACGCGAGCTGTAATGAGTGTGTCGTGGGAGTGTCTCCCCTCCCCCAGCTGCAGCCTCGGCAGAAGGGCACGCTTCCCAGCGAAGCGCCGCTCAGCGCTTGCCAGGCCCGAGGCTGCTTTAGCAATTGCCGGCTTCAGGGCTGTCTACTCTTTGCCAGCGCGCAGGTTTTAAGTGGTATTGATAGACTCATACACAATGAGTTCACTCAGCATATCATTTGCTTGAGTGAAAGATGACTAATCACCAGTAAATATTCACACAGAATTTTATATACTAGGGAAAAAATGAAAACGGAATTTATATAGTTCTGGAAAAGAAAAATTAAAAAAAGAATTGTCTTTGTGCCAGGGAGGGGGAGAGAAAGTCCCGTGACAACCTAACAAGCTCTGTCGAAACGGCCGCTGCTCCTCAGACTTCGTTTTGGAATCCGGGGCTCTTTGCATGCGCTTCTGTCTGTGTCAGCACGTGACCGCTGCTAACACGGGATCAGTGGCTGCGGCTACCAACACTTTCCGTCCACAGTCAGAACACATCAGACCAGTCAAGACAGGTCACTACCTCGGCTACATGGGATCAGGGAGTCTGCGTCACCCAAGGAGTCATGTGGAATTTAACTGAGGAAAATGGCACCAGAGCAGTTACCGTGCCGATGTTCTGATCTACAGGAAGGACCAGCGAATCTCTGATGAACGGAGTTTCAACATTCGTGGTCACAGATGTCTGGAACTTAGGTGTTTCTAATGTCACTGTCGCCGGTGTTCCCTGGAATCTGTCTGCCCCACCCACCAAACCCACTCACACACGCGGCTCAGCGCTCTGGCGTGGCCGTGTGCGCTGCCCAGGGCAGAGGCGCAGACAGACAGGCAGCACCGCCCCCCCCCCCCGGCTTTCGAGGGGAGCGCCTCGAGCCGTGTTCGTGCTCTGGCCTCTTTCTCGAGTTTTAATGGACCGTGGGGTGTCCTGAGTGGGGAACTCATGATGAAATGCAGACAGCAGCCACGGCGGAGGGCTGGCCGAAGTAGACCAAGTCTTCTACACGCAGCCTGGGGATCAGCTTAGCTTTCAGCACGCTCTGGCTAAAGCGCTGTTCAACAGCCAAACACATTTATACTAGAGAAAGTTTAAAGGGATTATCCATCCCAGACTGATTATTCAGGTGTCAAAAGAGTATGTATTGAGAACCTCTGAATTAGGTAGCAGTCTTCATCTTTGTTGAAACACAATTAACAATACACAAAGCGAGGCAGGGCCTTTCAGAGGAGAGGAGAGCTGAGTCACCCAATCTCCACCGCGGGCTGCGGCAGGAAGCCGACCAACGTGGTACGCTCTTCATTAATGAACACCTGCGCAAAAACCCGGCTGGTTTTATGGATGAATGAAAATCCAACCAAGCAATTAATGCCCAATTTAAAATTCACACTCCTGAAACGCAGAAGAAACCGCGTAGGAGATAAGGAAAGCAGGCGGACCCGGCTCCCTGTGGATGAATATTTTGTAACGTATTTAGGGTATTTTATCTTTTATTTTCTTGGGAACTTAACTTTTACATGAAAAATATGAAATCTGAATCATGCTGTTAATGTCATAAATTGCCCATTTGAGATTCTTTTTCTTTCTTTCTAATCAAGTGTGGTATACGCAGTTGTTTTGACAGTTTACTTGGATGGCTGTAAGCTTTAATTCGTTAGAGGTCAAACATTTTTTTTCTGATCCCTTTCTACAAGGATGATGCGAAGGGCGCGGCCGGTGCTTGGCCTTCTCTGCGATGCAGCAGGGGTTTGTGCTGAGGCAGAGGACGCCCCCCCCCCCCCCCCCCCGCTCCCTTCCAGTGTGTGCACCCTGCGGCCCGCAGGAGTCCTGGACGCGGGCTTCCCCGTGCGCTCACCTGCCTCGTGGGTGCGGATTGCGCGGGACGGGGTGCTGGGGTCTCCGGTGCCGATGCCGTTGGTGGCTACCACACGGAATTCGTACTCCACCCAGGGACTGAGGTCCACCGCCATGGCCGACTCCATGTCTCCTGTGATGACTTCCGGGACTGGGGAGAGGAAGGGGGGTGAGCGGGGAGGGGGTCACCCCACCCGTGGGCAGGGAATGAGCACGGAGTGTGTCAAGGGCCTTGGGCATTGGTAAGAAAGCTTCTATGTCTGCCTGTCACCCGCCACTAGGCCTCATCCTGGTTCACACCCGCGTCCTTCTGTCTCCCTTTCAGCCCCAAGCGAAGGCCACGGATTCTGTGCTTTGAGCAGAGAGCTTTTCTTGTACTTGAGCGGCGCACCTCTCCCAGTCCTGGCAGACACGCCGTACTTGTCAGGTCCAGGCAGCCAATTAAGACTAGACCTAATTAAAAATGGAAACCCACAGCCGCGGGGCTGACGTGGGCTCCCCAGTCTCCTTGCAGCGCCCTGCGTACTAACCAACGTCTGCTGTTACGGCATAGGAAGGTGTTTGTCAGCACGCTCGCTGCATGGTGGGCTCTTCTGGCGTGGCATCTGGGACGGTGTGGGCTGATTTTCTTGCTCACTCGTGGTGTTGGAGTTGAGTGTGATGGAGGCAGAGTGCTCGGCGGGTGTGAGGACACTGGGACCCCCGGGGGGGGCTCGGCTGGTGTGAGGACACTGGGACCCCCGGGGGGGGGCTCGGCGGGTGTGAGGACACTGGGACCCCCGGGGGGGCGGGTGTGAGGACGCTGGAGCTCTGGGACCCCCGGGGGGGGCTCGGCGGGTGTGAGGACGCTGGGACCCCCGGGGGGGGGCGGGTGTGAGGACGCTGGAGCCCTGGGACCCCCGGGGGGGTGTGTGAGGACGCTGGAGCCCTGGGACCCCCGGGGGGGGGTGTGAGGACGCTGGAGCCCTGGGACCCCCGGGGGGGGGCTCGGCGGGTGTGAGGACACTGGGACCCCCGGGGGGGGGGTGTGAGGACACTGGGACCCCCGGGGGGGGTGTGAGAATACTGGGACCCCCGGGGGGGGTGTGAGGACACTGGGACCCCCGGGGGGGCGGGTGTGAGGACGCTGGAGCTCTGGGACCCCCGGGGGGGGGGCGGGTGTGAGGACGCTGGAGCTCTGGGACCCCCCGGGGGGGGCTCGGCGGGTGTGAGGACGCTGGAGCTCTGGGACCCCCGGGGGGGGCTCGGCGGGTGTGAGGACGCTGGGACCCCCGGGGGGGGGCGGGTGTGAGGACGCTGGAGCTCTGGGACCCCCGGGGGGGGGCGGGTGTGAGGACGCTGGAGCCCTGGGACCCCCGGGGGCTCGGTGGCTGGTGTCTCAGGGGACGCTCTGATGGTGCGGGGGCGGAGCGGAGGGGGCAGCGGTCAGCTGAGCCCGCAGCACCAGGTAGGACACGGAGGCCGTTCCCGGCTGCGCTCCGTGTGGCAGGGGTTGGGGGTGGCGCTCTGGCTCTCTGTGTGGCAGGGGTTGGGGTTGGCGCTCTGGCTCTCCGTGTGGCAGGGGTTGGGGGTGGCTCTCCGTGTGGCAGGGGTTGGGGGTGGCTCTCCGTGTGGCAGGGGTTGGGGGTGGCTCTCCGTGTGGCAGGGGTTGGGGGTGGCGCTCCGTGTGGCAGGGGTTGGGGTTGGCTCTCTGTGTGGCAGGGGTTGGGGTTGGCTCTCCGTGTGGCAGGGGTTGGGGGTGGCGCTCCGTGTGGCAGGGGTTGGGGTTGGCTCTCTGGCTCTCCGTGTGGCAGGGGTTGGGGTTGGCTCTCTGTGTGGCAGGGGTTGGGGTTGGCTCTCCGTGTGGCAGGGGTTGGGGTTGGCGCTCCGTGTGGCAGGGGTTGGGGTTGGCTCTCCGTGTGGCAGGGGTTGGGGTTGGCTCTCCGTGTGGCAGGGGTTGGGGGTGGCGCTCCGTGTGGCAGGGACTGGGGTTGGGGTTGGCGCTCCGTGTGGCAGGGGTTGGGGTTGGCGCTCTGGCTCTCTGTGTGGCAGGGGTTGGGGTTGGCTCTCTGTGTGGCAGGGGTTGGGGTTGGCGCTCCGTGTGGCAGGGGTTGGGGTTGGCTCTCCGTGTGGCAGGGGTTGGGGTTGGCTCTCTGTGTGGCAGGGGTTGGGGGTGGCGCTCCGTGTGGCAGGGACTGGGGTTGGGGTTGGCGCTCCGTGTGGCAGGGGTTGGGGTTGGAGCCGTGGGGGCCGTGAGCTCCTCAGTGGACCTGCTCAGGTGTTTCTATCGCCCCTGTCTGTACCTGCCGTGCCCACGGGGTCCCCGGTTTCTGCAGTACAATTGTGAGATGACACAGGAACGAGCCAAGGCCGCGACTCCATACACGAAGCAAGGCCTGTGCCGACTAGAACGCTGGAATGCCCTCCACGCAGCGGGGAGAGCCGGCACACAGGCCGCGCGTAGACGTCTCCGTCCACACCAGACTTCTGCTCAAGACCCAGTGGACCCCAACATGGCCACAAAGCGGACTGAGTTTTACGGCTGAATGCTAATATGTTATTGAGTTTTATATTTTACTTCAATTTTAAAATACAACCAAAGCCTAAACTGCTGGCCAGTGCAGCCTGAGCCTCTGAGGATCCACTTCTGAGTTTTGCGCACTCCTCAGATGTCCTGGTCAGTCCTGGCTGGCCCTGGTCAGTCCCGGTCAGTCACGGTCATCCCTGGTCAGTCCTGGCTGGCCCTGGTCAGTCCTGGCCGGCCCTGGTTGGTGCCGGTCAGTCCTGGCTGGCCCTGGTCAGTCCCAGTCAGTCCTGGTCAGCCTGAGTGTGGGGCCTTGGGAAGGGTGAGCCACACCCCGGCAGCCGGCGCCTCGTCTGGAGAGCAGCCCTGCTGCCCTTTATGACAAAAAGCAAAGGACGAGGGTGACATGCTTGGTGCAGGAAGAGCACTTCAAACCAGACGCTGAGAGAATGCACCAGACGTCATTCACCAGAGCTGCGGGGCCCCGCGGGGCAGGGGGCACACGGGGGGCCCGCCTCGGCCGTCCAGGGTCACACAGGGGGCCCGTCCCAGCCGTCCGGGGGACACTGCGGGGCAGGGGGCACACAGGGAGCCCGTCCCAGCCGTCCGGGGGACGCTGCGGGGCAGGGGGCACACAGGGAGCCCGTCCCAGCCGTCCGGGGGACGCTGCGGGGCAGGGGGCACACAGGGAGCCCGTCCCAGCCGTCCGGGGGTGCTGCGGGGCAGGGGGCACACAGGGAGCCCGTCCCAGCCGTCCGGGGGACGCTGCGGGGTAGGGGGCACACAGGGAGCCCGTCCCAGCCGTCCGGGGGGACACTGCGGGGCAGGGGGCACACAGGGAGCCCATCCCAGCCGTCCGGGGGACACTTCGGGGCAGGGGGCACGCAGGGAGCCTGCCTCGGCCATCCGAGGGGCACACAGGGGGCCTGCTCCAGCCATCGGGGGGGCACGCAGGGGGCCCACCCCAGCCATCTGGGGGTGCTGCGGGGCAGGGGGCACACAGGGGACCCGCCTCAGCCGTCTGGGGGACACTGCGGGGCAGGGGGCACACAGGGAGCCTGCCTCAGCTGTCTGGGGACGCTGTGGGACAGGGGGCACACAGGGGGCCCGCCCCAGCCGTCCAGGGGTGCTGCGGGGCAGGGGGCACACAGGGGGCCCACCCCAGCCATCTGGGGGTGCTGCAGGGCAGGGGGCACACAGGGGGCCCACCCCAGCCATCGGGGTGCTGCAGGGCAGGGGGCACACAGGGGGCCCGCCTCAGCCGTCCGGGGGTGCTGCGGGGCAGGGGGCACGCAGGGAGCCTGCCTCAGCCATCTGGGGGTGCTGCAGGGCAGGGGGCACACAGGGGGACCGCCTCAGCCGTCTGGGGGTGCTGTGCTGCGCCCATTGCCAGGGACATTGCGGATCAGCCTGGAGTCCGCGGGAGCCCTGCGTGGACAAGGGTGTGGTGGCCAGCACTGCCTGCCCCTGCACAGTGGCTGCGGCGCTGGGGTTGCTGTGTTGGGGCGCTGGGGTTGCTGGGCCCGGGCGCTGGGGTTGCTGTGCCGGGGCGCTGGGGTTGCTGTGCCGGGGCGCTGGGGTTGCTGTGCCGGGGCGCTGGGGTTGCTCTGCTGGGGTGCTGGGGTTGCTGTGCCGGGGCGCTGGGGTTGCTGGGCCCGGGCGCTGGGGTTGCTGTGCTGGGGTGCTGGGGTTGCTGCGCTGGGGTTGCTGTGCTGGGGTGCTGGGGTTGCTGTGCTGGGGTGCTGGGGTTGCTGTGCTGGGGTGCTGGGGTTGCTGTGCTGGGGTGCTGGGGTTGCTGCGCTGGGGCGCTGGGGTTGCTGGGCCCGGGCGCTGGGGTTGCTCTGCTGGGGCGCTGGGGTTGCTGGGCCCGGGCGCTGGGGTTGCTGTGCTGGGGTTGCTGTGCTGGGGTGCTGGGGTTGCTGTGCTGGGGTGCTGGGGTTGCTGTGCTGGGGCGCTGGGGTTGCTGGGCTGGGGTGCTGGGGTTGCTGGGCCCAGGCGCTGGGGCTGCTGTGCTGGGGCGCTGGGGTTGCTGGGCCCAGGTGCTGGAGTTGCTGTGCTGGGGCGCTGGGGTTGCTGTGCTGGGGCGCTGGGGTTGCTGTGCTGGGGTGCTGGGGTTGCTCTGCTGGGGCGCTGGGGTTGCTGTGCCGGGGCGCTGGGGTTGCTGTGCTGGGGTGCTGGGGTTGCTGTGCTGGGGTGCTGGGGTTGCTGTGCCGGGGCGCTGGGCTTGCTGTGCTGGGGCGCTGGGCTTGCTGTGCCGGGGCGCTGGGGTTGCTGTGCTGGGGTGCTGGGGTTGCTGTGCTGGGGTGCTGGGGTTGCTGTGCTGGGGTGCTGGGGTTGCTGGGCTGGGGTGCTGGGGTTGCTGGGCCCAGGCGCTGGGGTTGCTGTGCTGGGGTGCTGGGGTTGCTCTGCTGGGGCGCTGGGGTTGCTGTGCTGGGGTGCTGGGGTTGCTGTGCTGGGGTGCTGGGGTTTTTGGGCTCAGGCGCTGGGGTTGCTGTGCCGGGGCGCTGGGGTTGCTGTGCTGGGGTGCTGGGGTTGCTGTGCCGGGGCGCTGGGGTTGCTCTGCTGGGGCGCTGGGGTTGCTGTGCTGGGGTGCTGGGGTTGCTGCGCTGGGGCGCTGGGGTTGCTGTGCTGGGGCGCTGGGGTTGCTGTGCTGGGGTGCTGGGGTTGCTCTGCTGGGGTGCTGGGGTTGCTGCGCTGGGGCGCTGGGGTTGCTGTGCTGGGGCGCTGGGGTTGCTGTGCTGGGGTGCTGGGGTTGCTGGGCCCAGGCGCTGGGGTTGCTGTGCTGGGGCGCTGGGGTTGCTGGGCCCAGGCGCTGGGGTTGCTGTGCTGAGGTGCTGGGGTTGCTGGGCCCGTGTGCTGGGGTTGCTGTGCTGGGGTGCTGGGGTTTTTGGGCTCAGGCGCTGGGGTTGCTGTGCTGGGGTGCTGGGGTTGCTGGGCCCGGGCGCTGGGTTTGCTATGCTGGGGTGCTGGGGTTGCTGGGCCCGGGCGCTGGGGTTGCTGTGCTGGGGTGCTGGGGTTGCTGGGCCCAGGCGCTGGGGTTGCTGGGCCCGGGCACTGGGTTGCTGGGCCCGGGCACTGGGGTTGCTGGGCCCGGGCACTGGGTTGCTGGGCCCGGGCACTGGGGTTGCTGGGCCCGGGCACTGGGTTGCTGGGCCCGGGCACTGGGGTTGCTGGGCCCGGGCGCTGGGGTTGCTGGGCTCAGGCGCTGGGTTGCTGTGCTCCGGCGCTGGGGAGGGCCGCATGGCTTGGCCCAGGGGGTCTGCTCCTGTGTGGGCCTAACGCAGCTCACAGCCACACAAGGCAGGGTCTCTCCTGGAAACCGGGAGGGAGGGAGGCCCGCAGCTGGACCCCCGGAAGGACAGCATGCGTGGGCAGCCCGGGGTGGGCGGGTTTCTGAGGCCCAGAGGAGATGTTGAGGAGCGGGGATGTGCGCCCCGTGTGGGTGGCGTGCGCCCCGCGCCTCGGCCCTCACCTGTGCTCACGGTTTGCCAGCCCAGGGAGAAGGGGCTGCGTGCCTGCAGGTTGTAGGAGGACACCGGGCTGTGGTTGTCGGTGGCCGGGCTCCAGGACAGCGTGGCTGTGCTTTCCGTGATCTCCTCCACGATGACCACCCCGGGGGGACCTGGGGGACCTGCGGGAAGAGGCGAGGGGCGCAGCTCAGCACGAGTCCCCGAGACCGCCGTCTGTCCTTCCCGTGGGGTCTCACCAGGGGCCGCGGTGGGCCAGAGCACGCGTGTGCGGCACAGGAGGCTGACCGCAGGGGGGCCGGCCCAGGGGGCCGCCGGGTGGGGCCTTTAGTATTGATTGGATAGTTTTCTAACTTTGCATCCAGACACAACGCATTACCCAGGGAAAGGCAAAACAAAGCCACAGGGTCTGCATGTTGGTGTCAACTGTGGCCACTGAAATGAATCTCAGCTTGGAGAGGCCACGGTGGGCAGTAAACCTGGCCATGCTCACACCAGCGCTGTGTCCAGAAAGCCTGGCGCACAGCCTCCGGGCACCGGCCCCGGAGCCGCGGCCCCGCAGGGCATGCAGGGCACGCCGGGTCGACAGACACAGAAGAACCATGCCAAAGCCAGGCGAGAGACAGCCAAGAGACCGCGGCTGCATTGACTGTGTTTTGCCAGAGACTGGGAGGGAGGGAATTACAGGAGGTTTCTTCTGTCTTGGCCATGGGAGAATGGACTAGAATAAGGATGACTGATGTATGCTCACACTGACTTCAAGAAAAGCATGACGACGGTTGAGGTTATTCCTACAATGCGCTAATGGCCTTGGAAACCGCAAGGACATTTATATTTTTGCAGCAAAATACCAACGACTTTCTTAATGACGTGTTTTTCTGATCCACAATATATGTAATTCAAATTCCATGAATGGTTTTCTGGTGAATGAGAAATGCCATTAATTTCTGAATTGGCCCTTGCGTGGCAAGCCTCCCTCTGGAGAGAAGCCCTTGTGAAGGCCGGAATGTGATTCCAAAAACGCTGCACCGAGCATTCAACCTACGGACAAGTCGTTTTTCTATTTATTGTAAATACAAAAGGTGTCCCATGAACAATTAGTGTGACGATTTTCTTAAATCATGGTCATATAGTTTACCTCTTAGGAGAAGCTAACCATAATTTTCAGCTATAATAACGGTAGAGATGATTTAGTGTTAGTGGTGGCCTCTCTGCTCTGCACACAAGGAAAATGGTTTTATTTATTACATCCCGACGCTGGCTGCAGGTGACCTGCATGCTACGTTTAGAGACGAATTACTCTGATGTGTTAGTATCTGTCTTTAAGATCTGTTAGTAGCGGCTGCTCTCTGTCCCTTATCCATCTATCCATCTGTCCACCTATCCATCTGTCCACCTATCCATCTGTGCATCTGTCCATCTGTCCACCTGTCCATCTATCATCTGTCCATCTATCATCTGTCCATCTATCATCTGCCCATCTATCATTTTTCCATCTATCATCTTTCCATCCGTCCATCTGTCTTGCTGTCTTTTGGCTCAGAGTCCAGGGACACAGTCCTTGTGAAGTGCTGTCGTGGTCTGTGGGCGCATGTGTGTGTGTGTCCCGGACGCTGTGGGTATGGCGCAGCCTCCAGCCAGGTTTGGGGGGATCTCAGCGTGGTTGGGGTGTTGTGGCACAGTCTGTGTGGGGCTCTGGGTTCCCAACCTGGTGCCGGGGGGCCGGGGCCGGGGTCTGGCCGCTATGACAGTGACACACGTGCGACTGGACCATGCATGCGTGGGTGGAGGCCACCGAGCTCAGAGCTGAGCGTGGCCCCGGAGCCCCTGGAGTGGGCCGTGCTGTGGCCGTGGCAGGGCCCTGGCGCCTCTGTGGGTCCCGTGGGCCTCGGCCAGGTCCTCGGTCGCAGCTCCCTCGGTCATTTCATACAGGAATGCAGCACTCAGAACGTGGCTCCTGGAAGGGGCAGGGCCTGGCCGCTCTGGAGGGGAGCTTGGTCCAGTGGTGAGCCGCAGCTGTGTTCCGACCTCCGGGGTCCAGAGCCCTCGCGGGGGGCTTCGGGGGGTGCGGGGAGGCCCGGGACCCTCCCCGTGTGGTGCTGGGTCCTCGGCTTCCCAGGAGGGAAGCCCCCTCCTCTCCCAGGTCCCGCACCTGTGGACTCCAAAGGAAGCCTAGGCCTGGACACCACACAGCCTGAATCGCTTTCTGGGAAGATTTGTTTACTATTTGCAAACCTAACTCAAGTCCCTAACCTTTCCTAGTAGCTCCCCTCCATGAGGACGGCTGGCTCTCCTGATGGAGATAGTCAAGGACAGGGATGATGAGTCGTTCTAGTTAAGTTTTTAAAGTAATTTTGTTCTTAGTTAACTTGGCAGAGCTCAGCACGGACTGTGTCTTTAGCTCCGCCGCCCCCCCCCCGCCCCCCCCCCCCCCCCCCCCCGCCATCTCTGTACAGCCCGGGTTCCCAGCACTGCATCCTCCCCGCCCTCTTCCGTACGCCCGTGGGCCTCACATTTAGTGCCCATCCCAGCTTCCCTTCCTTCACCAACCTCGGTGACGTGCGTGTGTTGCTCAAGTCCCTATGTTTCAGGTATGTGTTGTCCTGTGTATTTTTTTCATAGTTGAAATGCCAATTGAAGTTTGTTTTTTTTAATTTCATGACCATTTTATCAATGGCCTTCTTCCTCAATATTTAGCTGAAATTTACACTTGTAAATTTCCCACTGTTGTATTCCGGGTACCTAGTGCACAATATGCATTTGTAATAAACAATGGAATTATCTTTTGGTAGCTTAAAGGATCAGTATAGCTGTTGCCTTAATATTTGTACATATTTTAAACTTATATATGAATAAAGCAATATGCTTTTACAAAATCCTATTCTGAAACAGTGTTCTGAAAGAGGACCACAAACATACACACTTATAAACAGGATATGCATCATGTAGCCTTCTCATGCTTGTTAAATGCCACTAATTACACATCCACCTGTCTGAGATGCACTTCTAAACAAAAAGAAGAAGCTATTAGTGCTTTTCAAACTCAGATGAGCAATAACAACTCCTGGCATGTCTGTGAAAAGCACGTAGATTTCGTGATCTCTATCCAAGAGCTGCGGAGTTTCAATTTCTATGATTAGCGCTGCAGCATCTGCATTTTATACAAGAGGCCTGGGCGATTTTTATGCACGCTAGACTTCAAAAAAATTGATCTAAAGCAAAGAGAGTTGGACAGGAATCAGAGGAGCTTCACTCCAGTCTTGACACTTTGGTGTAAAGCTTTGAGGTGTCGGGCAGGTTTCTGAGCCTCGTTAAGCCTCGATTTCCCTGTGTTGAAGGGAGGGGCTGATGGGAGCAAGGCAGGGGTGGGCCGTGTCCTGCTGGTGTGTGATGCTGGCTCTGCGCAAGCTCCCGAGGGACGCTGTGTGCCGTCAGGGCCGCTGTGTGACGCTGCAGCTCCTCGCCTGGCAGCTCCACTTCTGCCCCTCACCTCAACCACCACCACACCATTGTGAAGAAGAGTTACTACCACCGGCCGATTGCACACACTGACCAGTGTGAAGAAGAGTTACTACCACTGGCCGATTCCACACACTGACCAGTGTGAAGAAGAGTTACTACCACCGGCCGATTCCACACACTGACCAGTGTGAAGAAGAGTTACTACCACCGGCCGGGCCGATTCCACACACTGACCAGTGTGAAGAAGAGTTACTACCACCGGCCGATTCCACACACTGACCTGTGTGAAGAAGAGTTACTACCACCGGCCGATTCCACACACTGACCTGTGTGAAGAAGAGTTACTACCACTGGCCGATTGCACACACTGACCAGTGTGAAGTAGAGTTACTACCACCGGCCGATTCCACACACTGACCAGTGTGAAGAAGAGTTACTACCACCGGCCGATTGCACACACTGACCAGTGTGAAGAAGAGTTACTACCACCGGCCGATTGCACACACTGACCAGTGTGAAGAAGAGTTACTACCACCGGCCGATTCCACACACTGACCTGTGTGAAGAAGAGTTACTACCACCGGCCGATTGCACACACTGACCAGTGTGAAGAAGAGTTACTACCACCGGCCGATTCCACAAACTGACCAGTGTGAAGAAGAGTTACTACCACTGGCCGATTGCACACACTGCACACATTGAAAACAGTAGCTGGGCTGGAAGTGGGCATCGCGCCCAGCGTCATGGGAGACCACTCCATCACCTGTTCCCATCCACAAACAAAACTGCGTCTAGGAACGTTCAGGCAATTCTCCCAAGGCGTGGTGCGGGCCTCCCTCAATTCAACCCGGCGTGCGCCTGCGTCCACGTGTCCCCAGTGCTCTGTGGACCGCTCCATGCTTCTAACGCTCAATGCATTAGGCTGGAGCACGTGAGGGGCGTCGGTCCCGTGTGTCCCACGTGGACTGGGGCACGCAAGGGGCGTCTGTCCCGCGTGGACTGGGGCACGTGAGGGGCGTCTGTCCTGTGTGTTCCCGTCCCGCGTGGACTGGAACACGCAAGGGGCGTCTGTCCCGTGTGAGGGGCGTCTGTCCCGTGTGGACTGGGGCATGCGAAGGGCGCTGTCCCGTGCGAGGGGCGCTGTCCCGTGTGAGGGGCGTCTGTCCCGTGCGAGGGGCGTCTGTCCCGTGCGAGGGGCGTCTGTCCCGTGTGAGGGGCGTCTGTCCCGTGCGAGGGGCGTCTGTCCCGTGCGAGGGGCGTCTGTCCCGTGTGAGGGGCGTCTGTCCTGTGTGTCCCCCGCCCGCGTGGACTGGAGGACGCGAGGGGCGTCTGTCCCGTGTGAGGGGCGTCTGTCCCATGTGAGGGGCATCTGTCCCGTGCGAGGGGCGTCTGTCCCGTGTGTCCCGCGTGGACTGGGGCATGTGAGGGGCATCTGTCCCGTGTGAGGGGCGTCTGTCCCGTGCGAGGGGCGTCTGTCCTGTGTGTCCCCCGCCCGCGTGGACTGGAGGACGCGAGGGGCGTCTGTCCCGTGTGAGGGGCGTCTGTCCTGTGTGTCCCCCGCCCGCGTGGACTGGAGGACGCGAGGGGCGTCTGTCCCGTGTGAGGGGCGTCTGTCCTGTGTGTCCCCCGCCCGCGTGGACTGGAGGACGCGAGGGGCGTCTGTCCCGTGTGAGGGGCGTCTGTCCCGTGCGAGGGGCGTCTG